CTTCATATTATCCCCACATTTTATAATGTATGGGGGTGAGAGGGTGGGGGAGGATGCTGGCGCCACTGTACAGTTCTTCCCCACATCACCTGAAATTTCTTTTTTCCCTGCTGGGTGCTGTGGTTCCAGGACCAGGGATGCTGCATCGAGTGCCAAAAGTAGGGTGAACCCTCAGCAAGGGACTATACCTATATTCCTGAATCTGCATGTGAGAATTCCCATGACCTGATGGATGGATTGCAACCTTCTTCTCATCTGACAAAATTGGATGGACCGTGAACAGTATCATAGTGCCTCGTGGCTGACATCATCCACTACTCTTGTATCTATGCAACCCCACCCAGCATGAATGGAAATGGAATGAGGAAGCCATAGTTGCTGGACCGGTCTTGCTATCAGAAATCTGGACTGGCAAAACAGTGGAACCTAATGTCCTTTCCCAAGATGGAAAAGTTAAGGCAAAAATAAGTGGAAGGAAAGAGAAATAATAGCTGAAAGTAAACAAATTAATGGAATATGTGGTGGGGAAAAATCTAACTTTATGCTTAATCCCCAAGAGAGACCCGGAGTAAGGAAATAATCAAGAATGAATGGGTTCATGGCTATAAGAGCCCAGAAGTGACCTGAAATTCATTCCTTGTGTGGTATATTATAATTCTGGACCCTACACTTGTGGTTTTAATCCCATTTGGAAGGCAGTCTCTACTATACTGATGGACAAGATTAGAGCGGGACTAAGACCTGACTTCAGGTCTTGAGATAGAGGGTATGGGCCAAGTCACACCTTTGCTTCCTTGGAGGGCATCTTTAGATTCTGCATTACTAGATGGTATGATTTAAGACACCATCCTTTTTTTTTCCTGGAGGGTATGGTCTGCTAAAAACCAAAGGCACACCTGCATCAAAGTCATAGGAGCTCTGGTGACATAGTGGTTATATGTTGGGCCGTAATACTCAAGGTCAGAAGTTCGAAACCACGAGCCACTCTTTGGGAGGAAGACGAGACTTTCTACTCCTGAAAACAGTTACAGTCTTGGAAACTCACAAGAGTAGTTCTACCCTGTCCTATAAGGTCACTGTGAGTCAGCAATAACTCAATAACGGTGAGTTTGGAAAGTTTATCAAAGTCATTCTTCTGCTTCCTGATTTTGGTAGAAGCAAGAAGACCTGCTTTGATTTGGGGACAATTTTGGCTTCTGGCTCTGGACTTTGCATTTGGCTCCCCTTTGCCAGACCTTCAGACTTAGAACTGAATAGCACACACACCCACATGAGTCACTTCATTAAAGTTTTGTGAGTTTCTGTAGTATATTGCAGAGAATCACAGAACCGAGGGATGTGAGGAAATATATTCAAGAGGGGAATGAGGGATGGGAGAGATAGGGGATTAGAGCCAAGTCACATCTTGAAAGAACTGGATATTTGGAACATCATTAATTTCCAACTCTTCAGAACTAATCTGGTATTACTTCTTTGAAAATGAATTATTACCACTCTAGGGTTTCTTATCAAAGGTGGTGAGACCCTCAGACTAATGGCCTTGCTGGTTCACTGGTCTGAATGTTCTTGCTATCAGGGTGGTGGGTGAAGTAGTCAGAGCAGACTCGATGGGATGATGCTTTCCCAAGCCAAGTTCCTGGCCCTTACAAGAGACGGTGCATAGAAAAAGCTACCTTTTAGAATCATTTTATCTTCCAAAATATCTGGTCAAACAGCTTTTGGATGTACTGAAACCAAACAATTTGAATTTACTAAAACCATGGGTTGGCAGCGAGTAGACACGATGTTCTAGAAGGATTTTTCTGAATGCAGAGTTTATTAGCCTTGCCTCTTGGGCTCTCTGGGTAGGATCTGGTCATTTTCAGATGGACAGGCCTCTTCATTCCTTGAAATTCATGTTTCAGTGCCCATCGAAATACAATGTATTATGGAAAACAAGCTTTCCGATTAAAACTGCACTTGCATTAGACTCAGAGGACAGCAAGGTCTATCAGCATAACATAGTTCACAGACAGCGCTCTACAACCTACTGGGTGAGTAGCAACTGGGTATCAAAGGTTCATGAGCAGCCAGCCGAGTTGCAACCACCGGCTCTCCCCTCCAGAAGAAAAGGGATGAAAATCAAAAGACAAATGGATATAATGCGTCCAATGGACGAACGGACCATGCAAATATCAGCCTCCATGACCCTGAGAGCAGAAGCATTAGATTGTGCGTGGCTATCCCTACCAATTGCTCTGAAAAGAATTGCATTGCAAGGTCCCGGGAGAAAACTGTGGAAGAAAACGCAATCATAAAGGATAACAGGTTTACTGGCCAAAAAGAGACAGCTGGAACCCCTAAGACTATATAATTTTTAGTCGCCCTGAAGGTCTGGAACTGAACCCACCTCTGTGGTTTAAAAATAAAATCATCTATTTACGATCAAAAGGGCAGCATTCACCCAACACCAGGGTTTAGAGGGTTAAGGAAGGAAAGGGGGAAAACAAGAAACACAGGGGTGAGCAGAGTGGGTGATGGTAGATTGAGGGAAGTTGAAGAAAAGTGTGGATGAGTTGCTGAGTGTAAAAACTGATATCTGCCCTGTATACCTTCACCTAGTTCACACGAAAAGTTTTTTAAAATGAAAATAAATCTGCATGTGCAGGACTCATTATTATGATGCCTGCCTTCCTACTTCTAAGTTTCTCACCCTCTCTCGTCTCAGAAGGTTCATGGAAATGATAAACAAAAATGACCACAAGTACTGCATCTTCACCACCTGGATGTGCATAGATATAGACAATGCACTTTTAGATGCTTTAACAGCTTGTTCCGTTAAATTTGAGCAGTGATCTTCTCCCAGGAATACTCTTACTCCATTGAAAACTGCATGGATCTTTTAGAATTTAGTAGACCAAGGACAAATCTAGTAATAGGGCGAGACATCTCTCCCTTTCTAGATCAGTCTCTTCCTGGAAATTGATAAGTAGCTATAGAAAATGCTCAACAATAAACTTATGTTCTCTTTGAGCTCCATTGGAAATGATTTTCTTCACCATGTGATACAGGAGGACCTTGTCCCACCGCTTCTGATGGGATATCCCTCCTTGCTTCATCTGTTCTAGTCTGTCAGACGCTTGCTACCTTGCACCCCCGACATTCAGCTCTCCCGGCCCTCTTCCTTCCTGTGGGTTAGCTGTTAAGAAGCTGTCTCTTCATCTTCCTCCCTTACTTAGTCAACAATGTGCATTGAACATCCACTGTTTGGGAAGTTGAAATACATCTGGGAATAAAACAGCCCCTGCATTTCTATTCTCATGGAACTTGCATCCTAACTGATTGCCTATTTTGAAAGTGCTTCTCCCACTCTGAGGTGTGTCTATTCCACCCTTATAACTGGTCCTTAAAAAGCCAATGCTACATAAGCAAATGTGGTAGAGAAAGCTGGTGGTACCCACCTATCAAAAAATATAGCATCTGGGGTCTTAAAGGCTTGAAGGTAAACAAGCGGCCATCTAGATCAGAAGCAAGAAAGCCCACATGGAAGAAATACACCAACCTGTATAATCACGAGGTGCCGAAGGGGTCAGGTATCAGGCAAAATCATATCATTGTGAATGAGGGGGCGTGCAGATTGGGGGCCCAAAGCCCATCTGTGGGCAACTGAACATCCCCTTACAGAAGGGTCACGGGGAGGAGACGAGCCAGTCAGGGTGCAGTGTAGCAGCGTTGAAATATACAACTTTTCTCTAGTTCCTAAATGCTTCCTCCCCACCACTATCATGATCCCAATTCTACCTTACAAATCTGGCTAGACCTGAGGATGTACAGTGGTACAGATAGGAACTGGAAACAAAGGGAATCCAGGGCGGATGATCCCTTCAGGACCAGTGGTGACAGTGGTGATACCGGGAGGTTCGAGGAAAGGTGGGGCATAAGGCAGAACCGATTTCTACATATAACCTTCTTTCTAGGGGACGGACAGCAGAAAAGTGGGTGAAGAAAGACACCAGGCTGTGTAAGATATGACCAAATAATAATAAATTATAAATTATCTAGGGTTCATGAGGGAGGGGAGAGCAGGGATGGAGGGCAAAAAATGAGGAGCTGATACCAAGGGCTTAAGTAGAAGGCAAATGTTTTGAGCATGATGGCAACAAATGTACACATGTGCTTGACACACAATGGATGGATGTATGGGTTGTGAGAAGTGTTGTAAGAGCCCCCAATAAAATGATTTTTTTTTAAATCCAATGCCATCCAGAGGTCATAAGGAGTTTGCTCCGTTTGGAGGGCCACACTTTACGTCTTGCTAACAACCTTACAAATCTGGCTAGACCAGAGGATGTACACTGGTACAGATAGCAACTGGAAACACACGGAATCCAGGGACAGACACACCCAAAGAACACCAAGAGAGAAGCATCATTCTTTTGCTTCAAATGATTGCTAGATAAATTGAGCATGCACAATATTGTATGTACCCCCCCCCACTCACCCCCTCCCCTCCCCACATTTTTCTGCATCCTGGTATATGTGCTGGTTAATAGTAATTTGGAAGAGAGGACCAGTATAAAGGTAAATATCGTTTACCACTTACCTTCCGTAAACTTAAAAATCAGGGGAGAAAATAAACAAAAAATAAAATAGGGAAAAGAAGTGATACAGACACACATCCTCCCAGTTAGTGGGGTTGAGTCCCCTGGGTAAAAAGTCCCCTGGGTGAAAGTGGGACTACAACTGCCCCCAAAGGATTTCCAAAGCCATAACCCTGACAGTAGCAACTAGCACATCTTTCTCCCACAGAGTGGGTTCGAACTGCCAACCTTTTGGTTAGCAGCTGAGCACTTAATGACTATGCCACCCAAGTTCCTTAACAATAGTTATAGAAAGTGATATTGCCCCACAAAGGACTACCATTCAGGGAATAATTATTCAGAATTCTCAAAATATTAGCTCTTCCCCCACTATTTCCATTCTTTTACAAGCCCCAAAGAGCTACTGATCCTTCTGCTATTCTAGGTGGTATCAACCCTCTTCTGATGGAAGCGCTTCAGGAGGCCCTGGCGGATCTGCTTAGACTTGATGCAGTAAACAATGGGGTTCATGAAGGGCGGGACCAAGAAGTGCAGGTTGGCCATGAGCACGGCTAGCGCAGGGTAGCTGTGCTTCTCTACTCGGTGCAACACGGAGAGCCCCAATTTGGGCAAATAGAAGATGAGAACAATGCAGAGGTGTGAGACACACGTATTGAGTGCCTTGAGCCTTTCCCCAGGGGACGCGATGCCTACCACAGTGCGGAGGATCAACGCGTATGAGAGCATGATAAGGGAGGAGTCAAGGCCGAGTGAAAAAAGGATGGAGACCAGACCAACCAGACTGTTGACCCGGGTGTCTGAGCAGGCCAGTCCCACCAGGTCACAGTGCAGACAGTAGCAGTGTGAGAGTACGCTGAACTGAGGAAAGAGCAGGCGCCGCAGGAGGATGGGTCCCGGGAGGTTGAGCAGGACAGCTCTCAGTAGAACAGCAGCCCCCATTTTGGCCATGGCTGAGTGGGTAAGGATGGTGGCATACTGCAGAGGATTCCGGATGGCAACAATCCGATCAAAAGCCATGGCCAGCAGCACACCGGATTCCACATAGGTGAAGGCATGAATGAAGAACATCTGTGCTGCACAGAGGTCAAAGGGCAGTTCACGAGCACCTAGCCAGAAGAGCCGCACCATGGTGGGGAAGGTTGAGGCACAGAGGCCCAGATCAGATGCTGCCAGCATGGACAGGAAGATGTACATGGGTTCGTGCAAGGCTGGGTCTGTGCGGATCAGGAAGAGGATGATACTGTTGCCCAGGATGGAAACCACACAGATTAAGTTGATGGGGATGGACACCCAGTGATGAGAAGCCTCCAGGCCTGGAAAGCCAGTAAGGAGGAATGTAGAGTGTGCAGAAGTGCTGGTGTTGCAGGAGAACATAGCGATTCCAGGAGGGAGTCGTCCACCCTATGGATAAGAAGCATTCATTGATTTGATTATCATTTATGAAGTTCCCAACCAAGTAAAGGAAAAGAGCCCTGGTGACGCAGTGGTTAAACCATTTGGTGGATAAGCGAAAGCTCAGCAGTTCAAGCACAGCCGCTACTCTATGAAAGGAAGATAAGGCATAAAGATCACAGCCTTGGAAACCCACAAGGTAGGTCTGCTCGTGTCATAGGTCACAATGAGTTGGAATTGACTTGACAGCGACAGGTTTTTGATTTTTAAGTGTAAGTGGTAAAAGAAAATTTGTTCTATATTCTTTCTTGACCCTTAAAGGAACCTAGTTCTTAGAAGCATCATTCTCTTAGACTTTCTGCTTAGTTTAATTTTCTCTTTGAGTGAAGAGATATTAAATAAATTTTCTGAATTGATCTTATTACTTATGACTATTTCTTTTTTATTATTAAACGATCATTTTATTTGGGGCTCTTACAACTCTTATAACAAGGCTTACATCAATTGTATCAGGCATGTTTGTACATATGTTGCCTTCATTATTTTCTAGACATTTACTTTCTATTGAGCCCTTGGTATCAGCTCCTCTTTTTTCTCTCCCCTCCCACCCTCATGACGCCTTGATAAATTATAAATTATTATTTCCCACAAGGTTTCTGTTGTTCATCCCCCTGGAAAGGGGGTGGTGGTGGTGGTTATGTGACGATCATTGCAATCGGTTTCCCCTTCCTCCTCTCCTCTCCCCACCTTCCCCCTACCTTTCTGGTATCACTACTCCCATTCCTGTTCCTGGATTCCGTGTGTTGTGAGCTCTTATCTCTTATCTGTACCTGTGCACATGCTCTGATCTAGCCTGCAGTGAAAGGCAGGACTGGGGTCATGACGGTGGGGGGGCGAAGAAGCCTCAAGGAACCAGAGGAATATTGTGAGTTTCATTGGTGCTATATGGCACCCTGGTTGACTCATCCCTTCCTTGTGACCCTTCTGTGAGGGGATATCCCATTATGACTATTTCTTTAGTCACTCAGATTTTTACTAAACCACTATCTTCTCTTTGACTTAAGGAACCTCCTGAAACTTTCAATAAAACTGCAGCTAAATATTTGCTTCCTCCAGAGTGTCTTCTCAAATTAGATGATAAAGGGTAAAAAGGTAAATTTTGGTTTAAATTGAATAACTTTTAGTGGATTCCTTATTATTGTCTACACAAAATATCTTATCATTTGTGATTTTTAAAATACTTTATTTCTTCCTTTCCAATCTGGGTATCTTTATTGTACTTTCTTAAACGAGTGCCTTTATACAGCAAGCATCCAAATCAAGAAATAAAATGTTGTCATTACCCCATGAGTCCCCTGCGACTCCTTCCAATCACTTCAAATTTTGGAGATAACTACTTTTTTTATTTCTAATACTTATCATTAATTTTGCCTATTTTTGAACTTCATAACTTAAAGTCATAAAGTGTGAATATTATGTACCTGCCTTCCTTCGCTCAGCTTAATATCTGGGAGATTCATCCGTATTACTGCATGTAGTTGTGGTTCATTTACTCTCGTCGCTGTATTACTTTCCATTGTGTGACTGTACCTCAATACATTGATCCATTCTATCACTGGTAGACATTTGAATAGCTTCCAGTTTGGAGCTAGTATGAGTAGTAAGTACTGGCATAAAAATTTTACTACATGTCTTTTGTGAACCCACATATGCATTTCTGTCAATTATATATGACTTGATTCTCATTATCTGCAGTATTTGTGGTCTATAAAGTTTCTATGAACACAGAATTAGTGAGCACTGGACCTTTTCTCAAAGGAAAATATCGAATTAAGTTTCTGTGAGACTCTGGTCACATTATTTTTGTCAACCAATCCATACATAACCTTGTTTTATGTGTGTTTCTATTTTAAAGACACATTGTTCATTATTAGCATTGAATTCATGGCCAACTGTAGTATAAACTCATGACTGAACAAAGCTTATCTCACACATATTTCTTTTGTAACATTTTCTCATAGCTTTCATACGCTTAGTTAGGAACATTAAATAGAACTTCAACATAAGATTTGTGGGTCATTTTAAACATAAATGTAAACCCTTGAACTATGTTATTTCCATTTCTGCCTTTGCTTTTTAGCGCTTCCTCTTTAGGAAACTGTGGGGATACAGCTGGGAGAGGAAAGGTACATAGAGGGAGTCATTTCACCCATTTCAACCCTATAGACAGTTGAATTTAATACACATAAACCCCCAGCGAGGACAATTATGTGCTTATTATAAATGCATGTAAACAATTGTCAAGGTCAGAGCCACCACTCTGGACAACTGTAGTAGGGCACCATTCATACGCTAATCTTTGTGAATGAGGCCCTTGGGGGTATGGTTTTCAGTACTGAGCACAAGGAGCATGAGCCAAAAACTGCATTACCAACTCAACTGGTGAGGAGCCAGGTATGAACATGCTGACATTGAGTCTGATGAGACACTCACAGGGGGTCCGGGCAGACTACTCAGCTGGTAGACAGTGGCAGAGGCCAGGGCTGGGGAGATGATACTTGCTTCCTCTAGAAACTGAACTCATTGCCATCCAGTTGATTCCGACTCATAGCAACCTTTTAGAACAGGCCAAAATGGCCCTTGAGGGTTCCCAAGTCTTTACAGGAATGGGAAGCCCAGTATTTCTCCCATGGAACAACTAGTGGTTTCAAACTGCTGGCCTTGCCGTTAGCAGTCCAACCCAAAACCACTCTGCCACCAGAGGCACTGCTTCCTCGGGCTAAGAATGTGTGTTGTCATCATTGTCCTCAACACTTAGTGCAGGATCTGGCCAAAACTGGAACTAAATAAATGTTTGGTGAAGAAATAAATAGATGATATGACTTGTAGATGACAAGCACTCTCATACTCACTAAAGTGAGTGTCTGCTATGTTTTAAACACGGTTAGAAAATGGATGTACAGAGATGAAATCTAACTATGTTTTACCCTGAATGCATGCAGTTGCACCTCTTGGTTTGTGATAAGGGTTATTAATAATGACGATAACATTATTGACGACAACATCTCCAAAGGTTAGATGAGAAACCTAAGGGGTAATGAATTCTTGTTCATTGTGGTGGAATAATTTGGAAATCTGAGAACAGCTATGCAATTTGAAGAATGTAAACATTGCCATTGCATTGTTCATAGCGTTTAAGTAATGTGTCCCCTGCTGTGTATGTTCACCAAAAATCAATAAATGAATACATTCAAAGGATAGTTGCTAACACGTATGGACCATGTGCCACACATTGAGCTAAGGTTGTTACCCATAACCCTCACCATTTCAAATGAAGCTTCTGGTTGAATAACTTGCCCCAAGCCAAACATTGGTAATTGAATAATCTCAGTTCAAGACTCTCAGATTCTCAAGGTCATGTGGCACGAGCCCAAACATCAGATGAGACAGGCCAGGACTGAGCCCAAATGCAAGGGCTTCTGCTTTGCCCTCAGCCCAGTCCAGATCACAAAGCAGTCACTTCACCTGCTCCCTTTGTGAAAGTCTCGCGATAACTGTGACGCATGGCCCATATGGGAATCAGGGTTTCACTACCGGTCATTCTGCATAATGTCAAACACAGGAGGCCAGACAAACTTTGTGTCCAGTGCAGGGTGAAGCAACAACCACACATTTACGGTACCAGCTGATGAAAGGCCAGAGAACTCCTCTTTCAGGTACTTGGCAACTTGGATCTTTCTCTGTGGTTCCTACAGACTCCAAGCTCACTGTGCAAGATTAAAGCTGTCTTGGGCGGCCCCACCCCACCCCCCTTTTTAACTTATTTGCTATGATCCTTGTTTCTTCAGGGTCCTAAGCTTATTTTCTTACTAAACAATCATTGTTATTAGGTGCCCCCGAGGAGTTTCCGACGCATCACGACCCTGTGTACAACAGAGCAAAACACCGCCTGGGCCTGCGCCAGCCTCACCCTTGTTCGAGCCCGTTTGAGCCCCTGGCTGCAGCCAGTGCGTTAATCCCAAAACAAGAGTCCAAAATGAACATGCATCTGATCCCCATGGACTCTGCACATAGCTTCATGTGCTCTAGCCCAGTGGGATAGTTTGGCCGTTTTCTGAAGAGGAAATCAAGCATCAGAGAGGTAAGTAATTTACTCACAGCAATGAAACTAAGTAACAGACCCAAAATTAATACCCATAACTCTCTAAAGATAAAAGCAATTCTCTTAATTGTTTTATATAGTAGGGAAGGAGCAATTGTGAGTCTTCATGGTTATCACATCTTTTCAGCGCGGGCCATTTAAAGAGCACAAGATAACGTATCTCCCCACCCCAGCCCCACTTCCACTCCACTTCCAAACCCTTGTCTCTTTAAAGCAATTATAGGGGTTTAAGACTGGAGCAAAGTCACCCCTAAATGGAGTGCCCTTCAGACAAGCCCAGCTGCTCTGCTTCCCGATACTCCCCGATGTGCTCATCCTTCCACGAGTGTGGCTCCGCTGCATAGTGTGTCAAAGTTGCCTTTCCCAGCCCCGCTACACCCGAGAGTACAAGGAATGGGTTTCTCAATAAGCAAGGTAAGCATGAAATTACTTATGCTTATTTACTTATCTGGAGTTTATATCACAATGTCACCACAAAGATTTGGTGGAAACCATGTGGAGTGGTTCACACAAGATTAGTAAGCGTGCACAAGTGAGCTCAGGCTTACCTCATTTACCGAGTACCTCGTCCCTGTGAGGGATTGTAAACTTGAAGAGCCTCAGGCTCAGCAAGAAGGTGCTGTGGGAGGATGTACACTGGTACAGATAGGAACTGGAAATACAGGGAATCCAGGACGGATGAGCCCTACAGGACCAGTGGTGTGAGTGGTGATACTGGGAGGGTAGAGGGAGAGTGGGTTGGAAAGAGGGAACCGATTACAAGGAACTATATGTGACCTCCTCCCTGGGGGATGGACAACAGAAAAGTGGGTGAAGGGAG